TTATTTTTTATTTTAAAATAATTAAAAAGAATTTAAAATTTAAAAAATAACATAAAAGGGCCAGTCTTTTTAAGTCTTGAGCCCGCATGTCCAAGGGCCGAGCTTTAATAATTAAATAATTTTAAGGTATATGGGCTTTAAAGGGCCGGCCCTTTTAGGCCTTGGCCCTTGAAGGGCCAGGGCCGAGCTGGCCCTTATTGACAGCTCTACCTACTCCCCTCGCATTCTCTTTCCCCACAAAAACCCTGAACCAAACGGTACCTCATAGTTATTAAAGATTGAATTTCAAAAAAAAAAGCAAAAATATTTTATTAGTTCAATCAGGTTGTCTTTTTTTTTTTGGTCAAAAGTTCAATCAGGTTGTCTGCCTTACTGGTTTTAGCAAAATCGTGACGCAGGTGTAAATTCGAATCATAAGCTTGAACAATAAATTTGTAAAAAATTACTAGTTTATGTTTATCAATAAATAATCATGATAAACAGTTAAAATAAAAAAACCACAACAATTTAATTTAAATATATTTCAAATTTAAAGTATTGATTTTTTTTAACATAAAGCAGTCATATTAATAAAGTAAATGATAAAATGCTCAAAACCCCATAGAGGTAAAGAAACATCATAAGAAAAATATTCATAATTTATCATGCTCGATGTAAATTTTTTTGATGAAATTCAAAGTTTGTGTTAGCATTAGTTTGTACTTATTAATTTTTATCTTTTCTGGATTCAGTCTTCTCATACATTCTCTAATTTAAGTTCAGTCACGTAAATACTTGGCTCATGCAACTCATAAATTTGATAAACTCAAAAAGCCAACTCATGAGCGAATTCAATCAAATTTACAATTAGCTGTTCACATAACATTATAAACTAAGAAAATAAAAATACTAAATCTAGATACTGTTTGTTGTAAGGGAACTGGAGGGGAGAGAGAAGAAAATTTCTAATAAACTCTGTTTAAAAAAGTGAAAAAGTGAGGTTTTAAAATTTTAATAAAAATTAATTAAAATATTTTAATTCAACTTTTTAAAATTTTTTAAATTAAGTTTATTAAAATTTTCTCGTTTTCTTTCTTTTTGTTTAATTTCTCTCTTACCAAAGTCAACTTACAAAGTTTGGCAAGAGCGGATTCAAATAGTGAAAATTATTTTGGTAAATCCAGGAATCATGAGTTTAGATTCTGGACCATCTTAGCATGACGAGTCATCGTTGACTCCGTGGGTAGCGCCACATCATGTGAGAGAAAGCGTAACTGATTGATCAGGCCCAGACATGCGCGATAAGTACGGATCCCATGACCCGGCTCCTTATTCCATATTTTAATCTTGTTCTCTGAAAAGACGCAAATTACATTGGCATTTAAATATTTCGTAGCCTTACAGTGAGTAATTAATTATTTTGAATAGATTAAAAATATCAGTTAAATTAATTAATATAATATATTTTTTTTAATTTTTTTGTCATGTTTGATTATTATTGAAAAAAATATCAGTAGAATTAATTTAATCAAAATTGTTAAATATATAGAATATGTCTTATATATATATATATAACTAATATTAATTTTAAAATCGCTGCCGTAAATTCTTACTTTTTTGAAGTAGTCTGCCTTAAGTCACACGAAATTCATATCAATTATTTACAGCAGCATGTCGAATTTCAATAACCGAATGAATAAAGAGTTAAAGACTTCAAGCGTCTACTAAAAAGACGCAATTTGCATGCGGATTTAATTATTTTAATTTCTTACTTTTCTAGTTTGAAGTAATTAAAGTCATTAAACATTTTATCTTTATCATCAGCCGCATATTGTTTTTCAAATAATTAAATACAGATTTTAAACGCCTTCCAAAGGAAAAGACGCGAATCACGTGTTCACTTAATTTTATATTTATTTTGCCAGCCATTTAATTTTATATTCTTACTTTTTCAGCTTGAAGTGATTTACAAATCTATGACACACGTGAAATTCTTATCATTATAATAAACCGAATATTCTTTTCAGAAAAATAAATATTGGATTCTAAATAATTATAAAAAACCTTAAAAATAAATACATGATAAAAATATTTAAATATTAACATATTGTTTCTGAGTCTCTTGAAAAACACCTTTAATCATTTAAAAAGGTTTGTTGAAAATTAATGTGAGGTACATGCGGAAGCATTTAAGAAGGGACCCACATGGATTTATTATTTTGCATACTTTAGGCCAAAATGTACTCGCTGAATAAATGAACGTGTTAGGCCAACAAAAAGATACGTTCATTTTTTTTTTGGCAAAAATATATGAAAGTGTATTTTTTTTTTTAAACAACGTGAGTTTAATTTGAATGTGAAAAAATTATTAGTGTCTCTTAATTGTGAAGAAAATTTTCTTATTTCAGGAGTTAAAGATAAGTGAAACACGAAGGCCTATATGATGGGAAAATCAACAAATATGTCGTTTCTATAATTTAACATGACCCAATAAATCTTTTGATTTTTCATGATTATTTTCCTTGTATTAAAATTTCGGTAATAATTATTTTTTAAAGAGTCATGCTTGAACTTTAATTTCGTTTATATATATACGTATGCAAATCATTTGACTATCCTTAATTTTCTGTCATAATTGAAAGTCCCATAACCGCCCTTAGCTTCATACTCAGAAAATTCCCTTCTTTTGATTAACTATTAATTGATTTAATACCGTGTATTGTAATCCGGATGATTGACTTTGACCCAAATTAGAGTAAGTATTACTTAAAGTTACAAATGAATTATTGTAGCTTAGATAACTTTATTATTTATGTAGTTTATTAAATGCTTGTTTTGATTGATCCCAGATTAATTAGGATAAAAAATGTAAATATGAAAATTAACTTTGTGCGCACTTTTGTTTTTTTTTTGTTTATTAGTTTTTCTCTTAATCACGTAACTATATTATGGTAAAAGAACTAATTTTAAGGTTGGCCAAAAAAAAAGAACTAATTTTAAGAAGAAGGTCAAAATTAGCGTGAATAGAGTTAGGTCTGAATAATTTGAGGTGCCAAACTTCGTTAATATGTTTGAACTTTTTTATTTAATATCAATGATGGGACAAATATTTTACAGGTACTTGATTAGACTTGGGCAGGGGCATTTTCAAACTGCTGTGTTTTCATAATTAGTCAAATTAATCACCCTGGGGAAAGATATTTTCTTCTCAATCAAACCTTAATCTTAATTAGTCTGAATTTATCTGCCAGGGATTCAAACTTGCACAGCAGCCTAATCTCTTGGGGAAAAAAAACTTAAAATTGACGCTTTTGGCCACGTCCTCTGCACCCGAAGTCCAAAGATTCCGCTAAGTGATTAGTCTTTTACTTTTAATAAAAAGTAACAATAATATACTTTATTTATAAACTATAAATAACGTCTTATATTTAAAAGTGGAATTAGTATTTAAAATTTCCCCACCTCATAATCAAAATTTCTTATTAAAAAAAATAACTTACACCAAATTAGCACGTCCTTTTTTTTTTAATTAACAATAATGATTCCGTAAATTTAGATTCTTTTACCTTTGCATAAAAAAAATCCACGAAGACCGTGTTAGCTTACACAGCGGATGACATAATTAATTACGTAAAACTCAATATTCGGTTTAATAGAAGCTCTTTGTTTGTATCAAAGATTACAGAAATAAGGTCTTTGTTTGATCACTTTAATCTTGAAGATTACAGAAAGTGGAGATCTAATTTACTAGCACGTGGTTAAAAAGATAATTATTGCTATAAGCTTAGGCAGAGGGAGAAATTAGAATTAGAATTTCATTTAAAAAACATTATTTTATGTATGGAGCGAAGGAGTTACTACTACTTTAATCCCTAAATAAGTGGGTGGATATGCAAAAAGAAAAGAACTCCATTTCTCACATAATGTGAGATGCTTTTTAAGAAAAATACCGAAAGGTTACCAAAAAATTAGGATAAAGCAAAGCATATGTTATTTTTTAGTTACATTAAACTTTCTAATTTTATTTATGATGTATTTAGTATTCCAATGTTATTTTTTTTGATTGATTTATAGTGCATTTAGTATTTTAAAGTTATGAATAAAATTAAGATGGCGTATACAACGTGACAATAGTATTTGATGTGCTAAAGTGTATTAAGAAAATAATATCATGATGTTAAATTTTACTTGATCTACAAAATTATGATGCACATACTAACCAAGAGCATTATAACCCTCACAGCCATGCAACTAATGATGAAGCATAAAAAAAGGTAGCATCTTTATATAAAAAATGAATTTTTTAAAATAATTTTCAGTAAGTTTAGTGGACTTTGACACCAACTTTAGCCCCTTTAAAATCATTTTAATATATACTTTATAAAAAAATTTACTTTTTGTCATATGTACTTTAAACAAATTAATTTTTGCCGCAAACACAAAATTCTATTATATATATTTTAAATTCTTAAATTTTAAAATAGTCTTAATTATTATCTAGGAATTGACTACACAAATAATAATACAATTTTTTTTTGGTAATTCCTATTTAAAATTTTAAAATTTTAAGGGAAAAATTAGTAAAAAATCTTTGGTTGAAATTTCAATTAGTCAAAAGGATCTGAATTTGAATAAGTACAAGTATGATTTGTGTGTGCAATATATCATTTATGATGTGTAATAATGATCAATATGAAAGTTATTTACATACAACGAAAGATATGTTATACTCACGAATTATAATTGTACTTGTTCAAATTTATTCAGGTCTTTTTAACTAATTAAAATTTTAAATAGGGATTTTTTACCTATTTTTTTAATTTAAAAAGTATTTTAAAGGTTTTTTCAGATTCATTCACTTTTTACCATTGAGTATTTCAACATCTTGCTTGACACTTCGACGCCTGCTATTCATTGACTCAACCTGACATAAAGGGGTCCCTATTCTGAACTCTGAATAGGGCTGTATTTAACAGCACCATCTCTCTCGGAAGCCGAAAAGAAAAACAAGAAAATCACACAACACAACAAAATTTGTCGGTTAAAGGCCACAGTTAATTTTTGCTTATATATAGTTCCCGTCTTCCCAGCTGATTCTCTCAGTGACAGAAACGCCTTTAAACTCATGTTTTAGATTCAGGCTTCTTTCTGTCAAACTGAAATACTTCACTCTTACACCTACCAACGTTCTTCTTGTGTTCTTGTGAAAAAGATACCCTTTTTGGCCCTCTCAGCGAGTCTATCTCTGAATCGAGCTTTTCCTGATACTTATATAATCATCCTTGATCCTGAACCCCGACGGCTGCAACTTTGGTCTGCTTCAGAAACTGGTTTGCTCTGTGTTTTATCGATTATTTCTTGCATATTTCAGCTTGTGTTTTAATGTTTCTGCTGTGCTTACTAAATGGGTTGTCAGAAAATTTATTTTTATTTTTTAATGGGTATTGTCCTGTTTCTTCTGATGATCCTTTTTCCTGGGCTCACCAGAAACTCCTTCCCTCTCTCGCTCTCTCCAGTTATACTGGAAATTAGAAATACTGTTGGCTATAGAATTCTGTAATCCGGTGTCTGTGCTGAAACCTGCGAAATCTATCGCCAGGATATGATGGCATTTATGCTAGGAAGAAAAATTTAGGAACCATTTAATTAATTTACTGCTGGTTCATTCTTCTTTCATAGTTGACGATGACGATAATATTTATGCTCGAGGCTTTGTCCTGATTATTGGCAATGCGTGTGGTTAGGCACGTCTTAATTTCCTACATCGCTGCCTGTCATTTTTCTAATTAGACCATGATTTATGTGTTGAGTCTGATATTTGACTTTGATTTAACAGAGACTATTCGAAGGCACAACTTCATTTCAGCTATTAATGGTGTATTCGAGGGTGAGAGATGAATGAGAATTTTCAGTAATGGGCATGGAGAACAAATGGCTATTTCCTCTCTTCTTGAGCTCTGCAATATTTATATATCTCCTAGCTGCTTCTTCTAAAACCGGCTTTGTCTCTTCAATAAGCTCAATCAATTCATTCTTCGTCTCATCTCTTACGGTCGCAAACCAGACATCATCCTCAGTTTTTGTGGAGACTAAGATTTCTCCTCCTCTATCTCCTTCTGGACCTGCGATTCCTCGTTTTGCCTATTTGATCTCTGGTTCAAAGGGTGATTTGGATAAGCTTTGGAGGACCCTTTTCGCTCTCTACCACCCTCGGAACTACTATGTTGTTCATCTCGACCTTGAATCGCCATTGGAGGAAAGGTTGGAGCTTGCTTCTAGAATTGAAAAGCAACCTCTGTTTGCTAAAACTGGAAATGTTTTTATGATAAAAAAGGCTAATATGGTCACTTATAGAGGACCAACCATGGTATCTAACACCCTTCATGCTTGTGCCATTCATCTTAAGCGAAATAAAGATTGGGATTGGTTTATTAATCTCAGTGCTTCAGACTATCCTCTTGTGACCCAAGATGGTTAGCTTCTCATCTTGTGCTTGTTTTAATATTTAGTCTATATAAAGACCAATCCTTGGATGATATAGCGTTTAGATTTATTCATCTTCGTGATTTTGTATCTGCATCAGATCAAATTGCATATTTGCCATTCAGTTTCTTTGTTTAGTCTGTCTGTTCTGTTTCTAACCCTCTTGTTTCAAATTGTTCAGATCTTCTGCACACTTTCTGGAGTTTAGACAGAAATCTTAACTTCATTGAGCACATGAGTCAGTTGGGATGGAAGTTGTAAGCCCCGTTCTCCTGTGTTGCTTCTGCTTCCTGAAACAGACAAGTTTTGATTTGTTTATACTGTTGATTGAACCATGATTTGCAGTGACAAAAGAGCAAAGCCTTTAATGATAGACCCAGGGCTTTACATGGCAAACAAATCTGATATATTTTGGGTTACTCCTGGAAGAACTTTGCCTACTGCGTTTAAACTATTCACTGGTTAGCTTTCCCCTTCAACTCCTTCATCTGCTTGTCCATATAGTGATTGATCTTTGGGTTTGCTTGATTTTCAAAAGGTTCACTTCTGCTAATTTCGAAATGGTACGTCTAAGAGAATCTAAGCCACTGGATTCTGCGGATGCTCCCATTTTTTCATGTTTCAAAAGACCGCTTTCATGCATTCTTTATACTTTAGATAACTTCTGTAAGTCTCTTTTGTATGAGCAGATGGAACTCTAATAGGCCTTTCTTTTTTGTCTGGGATGGACAACGAAACTATAGATGAAAAAAATGAGAGAATACACAACAACTATCCATAAGCTAATGCTAACCACCTTTCATCATCCAACATCTCCTTGCAACAAGGCAGTGAATGATCAATGGAGCAAAAATCATCTACATTATCATGTCCCATGCCAGCCTCTCTGTAGATAAAAGTAATTGAAATATTTCAGTTCCTAGTCCATAGCATCCTACTTTGTTCAATCAGATCTCGTTAAGGATGCTCTGCTGTCTTATGTCTTGTAACCAAGTTGAAATCTTCTGCATAACTAGTGAAAACATGGACCTCTTCTTCAGCCCTTCTCCCCCAACATAGTGCAAGACCCCTTATCACTCCTTAAAGTTCGTTAGTTTCAGAGGGCTAGCGGCCTGAACTGCGGCAAGTACTCAGTACATCCCTGCTTACTGAACCATCAATGTCTTGTCTATGTTCTCCCCTGTTTGGTGAACACCGTCGACCAAGAATTTTCCCTTTAGGAACTTTTAAGCATAAATGAGTTTTCAGCAACGGTCATATCTGTACAGGCTCTGTGAAAACTATCATTAACATAATGATTTCTGTTGTTATTTTCAATTGAGAACATTTTTTAAAATCTTGCTTTTCAAAGGTCCCAGCAAACATAAGTAATGAGGGTTCCTTGGTACCTTCGTGGTGTTATCCTTTTGATCTGCCTTCTTGAAGTTCCATATCCACTCAACCCCATTTAGATTCTTGAAACTGTCCCATTTTTCTAGTAATGAATATCCTTCCATTTCTGTGTTGCATGGCAGTAGTCTCTTGGGAGATGCAATCTAATAGGTTTTCTAAATCAGCTACAAAGCAGTTTCAAATGGTAATTATTCTATTGGTGTCCCATTCACGTTAAGATGGATCTCACCGAGAATCTTCCTATCATGCTTCTATGCATATTGGATCTCTTCCCCCACCCCCGCTCTATATATATGTGTTTGCCGACAAATCTCTATTTTGGTCGGTTTATTTATTCAGTATGTCGTGTATAAACATATAAGCATGTCAAGGATGTAATGATAAGACATCACTGGCCAAGTAAAAGTTGATTTTCTTATTACAGACTGAACCATACTATGTATGAGTGATTCTCAATCTGTTATCTGGTTTGCAAGGTGTGTTTGACGAAATCAGATTAGCTTAAATTGCAGGATCAGCATGGATGGTTCTGTCACGTTCATTTGTGGAATACGTTGTATGGGGTTGGGACAACTTGCCTAGGACACTTCTAATGTACTACACAAACTTTGTGTCTTCCCCAGAAGGCTATTTTCAGACGGTCATCTGCAACGTCCCTGAATTTGCAAAAACCGCAGTGAACAGTGACTTGCACTTTATTTCATGGGACAACCCCCCAAGACAACACCCGCGTGTCCTTAACATTAACGACACAAGAAATATAATAGCAAGCAATGCTCCTTTTGCTAGGAAGTTTAAGCAAGACGACGCTGCATTGGATTTGATTGATAAGGATTTGCTGCACAGGGAAGCAGGAATGTTCACACCTGGTGGTTGGTGCTCTGGGAAACCTGCATGCTCTGAGGTCGGCAACCTTAACGAAATCAAACCTGGTCCTGGAGCTTTGAGGCTTAGAAGCCTTGTGGGGAGGTTGGTATTGAGGGCTAGAGTCGGTGTGAATCAGTGTAAATAGGATTCCATTCATGGGAGGAAAAAAGCAGAGAGATGGAATTTCTGATGTTATTGTTCATGGCCGCACGTCGTTCCAGCAGATTGCTATGATGTTGGAGTGGCAACTTGCGACTGTAACCCAATTCTTTAGGACATTATTCAGTCTCATTGGTAATTTTTTTTTTTTAACTTCTAAATATAAGGGAGATTAAGTTCTCTTAAAAATAACTGAGTATTTACGTATATCTTATTACTATAAGATGGTGTTGTTCGGAATCAAAATTTTCTTCTCTTTTTTTTTTTTTTTAAAATATCCTCTTTTTTTTAACGGCAGGGGCGAAGCCAATCCGTTGGGTTGGGGTTCGAATCTCAAGCCTAGCGATGCAAAACCCTTGTTTGGGTCGAATAGTAACACAACCCTAAGAACACTCAAAACATGTATGAATTTAATCGAGGTGGATTTACCAACAAGTGATGGTTTAGGTTCGATTTTTAAGACAGTATGTATGGGAAAAAAAACTGTTAGAAGGGATCCTACTACAGTGTTTGACAGTACTTTGAGATATTAGTCTTTTAACATTTGAATGGGAGGATACTTTGGGCAATAAAAAAAAATTGAGATGGATTTGATTTTGGTTAATAAATATTTATACGAGTAAGCTTATTAAAAAATATTCTCAAAAAGATTTGAACGATTTAATTGTATTTACATTCTTGCAAAGTGCATCTAAATCTGTGTTCGACCACTTGATCCCTCCGAATATCGTTTTTTTTTTGTTTGGGGGGAAAAAAAATCAATTGCGCCAAAATTAGACATTGGGTCAAATTCTGATCAGTGTGATTAATAGGTAGAATAACATAAAATAAAGTAAGTTTAGTAAATACAAACAATTGGGAGAGTTTAGCATACTGAAAAAAAGCATTAAAAAACGTGCTTTCGGAAGAAATTTTGTCTTAAAAGTATTTTTTAAAAATATAAAAATACGAATTAATAATTCATGAAAGAACACTCGATTAATTCATTGTGTGTCAAAATAAGTGACGAACAAGTACCAAAATCTTCTCTCTGGGTATTAAAAAAATAGGGAAAATTTTATGTAATTTCAAGAAAGGAATATAATTATAAATTTTTTTACTAACAGTAGTTCTAGTGGCAAAAAAAATGACAAGCTCCAAATTTTTAATAGAGGAAATGAACAAAAAAGTTGATGCTCCTCATTTATTATTAAATTTTTTTAGTAAGTAGGATATTCTTTTGAAAAAATCCAAAAAAAAAACATCTGAAATTTCAAAATCTCAAATCACAAATGACTACAAAAGTGTGTTGTTATTTGTTTTTTAAGTGTTTTTAATTGTTATTAAAGTGTAATAAGTAAGACGGATTTAAAATTTTAAAATTCAAAAATATTTTTTTGGGATTCTCGCCATTCTTTTCTTAGGATTTATAAGGATTTTCCCCCGGGGGGGATAAGTAGCAAAATTTTCAGCTGACTCGCGTAAAACAAAAGGTTCATGCGGGGGCGATGTGCATTGAATCTAAATAGTCCAGATTAAATTAAATTTATTTTCATAATTTAAGAATGTAATTTAATGTGTGCAAAATTTAAAATAAAAATAATACATCAACTGCCTCTTTTTTCAAAAATTATTTTTTTATTTAAAAATCAGTATCTAGAAAATCTATAAAAAATTTTGGGCAAAGAAAATCTAAAATTTAAACCATTGAATGGGAATCGCACAACATTGAAACCGGTTTCTATCTATGGAGATAATATACAAAGAGAAATTCTTTCAGGGGCGAATATACACAGATCAAAATAGTAATAATAATAATAAAATCTAAACATTTTCCACCTTTTCTTCTCATTAATATAGAATTTTATCTACAAGAAATCTTTTAACAAAGATCAATCTCACTCTCCTTTGTGACTGCTTCCGCTATGATCTTATGCAAAAATTTGTTATGTTACAACTTCAAAAGTAAATCACAGAATCTGTATATCTCTCTCTATAACCTTTTTTTTTTTTTTTGCCCCCCTCTTTTAAAGGCAAACAGAAAGGCGAAAGCCCCCCTTCTGTCACCTCATGTACACCAACAATCTGCTATTTCAAACAACCTTTGACTAAACCATCTCCAGAATTTTGACATTTCCGGTGGAATTTGCCGCAAGTAAGGTAGTCGATTGGCCGCGCCAGCAAACTGAAGAGATGAACTGCGAAGAATCATCCAATTCATGCCCAGAAAGTGGGTCTGTCATCTGGAACTTGAATGATAATGCCGGCATGGGAAATGCCTTGTGGTATACGAAAACCTAATCCACACAACATAAGACATGAGAAGGAAAACAATAGGAGACAATGAGGAAGAAAAACTAAGAAACGACGGAAAACAGGGTAATATATATCTCGATCTGGTGGATTCAAGATTTCAGCACGACCAGAGCAGACAAACAGCAAAATGAAGAAGGCACATGACGGGTATTCTTTGTTAATATCACTATGCCAGATACATTTGCTACCATTGAATTGGACACACCCCTCCCTATTAAGATACAAAAATACGATATTTTTCACGAATGCCCACTTCTCAAGACATGCTATAAGGCATACACTTATAGCCACAGGGGCTTCTCGGAATCAGATAATGTCTTCTGTCAATTATAGCTATGAGAAAGGCAGAAGCAAATGCAATGCATCTTTATTGGAACATAAATAATACTCCTCCGGTCCTAATTATAAGACCCAATTGACTTATTTGAGGAGATTAAGGAAGTAAGTTAAGTTGGTTATTTATAATAAATAAGTGTTGTCATTCCTAAAATATCCTTGCTAATTAAGTATATTGGCTAAAACTATCATTATTAGAAGGATTATCTTGGAAAAAAATGCATAAATATAAGAGACAAAATGGATTGGGTCTTATAATTAGGACCAAATAAAAAGTCAAATTGGGTCTTATAATAAGAACCGGAGGAGTAAAATAAATCGAAAAGATCGAAATTCAATTAGAAAAATATATACTATAACTGCCTCTAAGATCACCTAAAGAGCTTATGAAGTACCTCATTTGTCTCTGAACCGGTAGCAATGTAACCATCAGCCACAGACAACCCCACAAAGTTCTGCAAGCAAAGAAAAATGAATCAGCAAGATAACAAAATGTCCCACTTGGTCTAAAATACGGAACACAAAATTCTCCGATAATCAGTTAGACATGGCCCAATTTTGCATCTGTTTCTCATACAGATGCTCAACCTTGGTCCCTTGCAGGCAAGTCTGCAAATTGATTTCCAACAGGATATGGGATTTCGTAAAGCAGATCAAGATGAGACACTTCATGGACTGATATTATAGAAACAGTCATAAGATTTCAAAAGACATTGACCCAGAAAAAGAAAAAGACACCACAAGTCCGTGATCACGCAACTGTCCATTCTTAAAATTGCTTGGGATTATCTGCAATATCTAGGGCTTCCATGAAAGATCTAATAAATTTGTAAGTTGTTCCAAAAGATTAAAATGCCTAATAGTTAATGAAATGATTCTCTCTGGATCTCCATATGATTTGGACAAAGACTCTTGAATCCATGATTATCTAGTCATAAGATGACAAAGACCCATCCAAAATGGATAAAGGGAGTATCGCAATGCTATGTAGAAGCAACTATCCAATTCTTTCGTCAAGACAAGAATGTTTATAGAGAACATGGTAATTTTCAATAATACTCTTGCTAAGTTTTATCAAGGACCTAACTGCCTAACCATTGAAAACTTAGTAATAGAAGTAGATTAAGAGCCTAGGCTTGGAAAACCTCTTAATTACGAAATCCATTTCTAGATACACCACAACTTTATCGAATCCACATTTCTGATAGTAGCCAGCCTTCTTGGAAATTCATAAATTGGGAAGTTGATCTTTGTGAAGTTAGAAAAGATCAAATTTTAACTCAGGACAAATGAGAATGACTGGAGACAAATATAGCAAGCATATCACAAAGTTTCTCCACTGTCTAGAAGAATATATTTTTCCAGGGATACAGAAAACCTCCAGTTACCTTACTTTCCTTGCAATCAAACTCCATTTCTGATCAAATCATTTTTTCATTAAAAAAAGATTGGGGTGTGATTGAAAAGATTCGTGAGAATCTTACACACAAGCGCCCATTTCTTTATGTGGTATTGATCTTTACTCGAGTTCCTTTGACTATGCTATAACTCGTCCCCCCCTTTTTTCCTTTTGGGGGGAAAAAAACGTAATGCACATTTATTTGTTGCTTTCCATTTATGAATTTAACAAACTAAATAGTACCAGCATGGAGCAAAAGAGCCCATAATAAACCAAATTCCTCAATAGGCCTAACTCAAAATAATTTTCACACTAAATGCAATTTGGCGTTAAATACACAAATTTACACAAATTTACAGTCAGAAACAAACTCACCTTCACATTTGTGTGACCTGTAAATGATTGAATTGGTGTGTCTATTATGCGAGAGGTGCACATTGACAAATCCCAAAGCTTCAAAGTGTTATCTGTGGATGCTGAGACAAGGTTCATGGTGTCTACAAATTTGATGTAGCTCACAGTCTTATTATGTCCAACTAACGTGCAGAGGGGCATTTTTAGGCTGCGGAGATCATAGTAGTATATTCGATGATCTGCGGAACCAAATGCAAGGAATCGACCAGAATCCGGAGGAAACTGAACACAGCACACATTAGCCTTCGTTCTGATGGTGCCAATACTAACTCCCTGCAGTACCAGCCCAAGTGAGAGAAACAACTCATCATACATCCAGAATTAATTATATTAAGCATGCAATAGATGACTGCAGTACGTTTAGTTTCAAAGCTGACATCCACCAAGTGCAAAAATGGAATTGCCTGATTGATACTCCATAGCTTGACTGAGCCATCGTCGCTCCCGCTTGCTAGCATTGTTGGGTCTGCCGATGAGAAATCAACAGACCACGCCCGCTGCTCATGCTCCTTCATTTCAGATAGCACTTGACTTCTTGTCACATCCCATAACTGAATCCAAAAAAATAAAAAATAATGTAAGTTATGATATTGTCATAAGAAATCAGACAACCTAGCACAAGCCTTAGCCTACCTGAACAACACCTTCAAAGTTACTAGAAGCAATTTGACTTTTGATATAAGTATTCCAACATATACTACTCAATTTTGACCTGCAACCCATCTCCACTACCGGATAGTGGATATCACGACACTCATTTATGATTGTGTCGCATTCAAAAACTTTGATTTTCTTGTTAACTCCAGCAGTAGCAAAAAATTCTCCATCACGATCAAAACTGAGCGAGCACACAAGATTGGAGGAATGCAAAAGATCTCCTTGCTTCAAGTCAGCCTTAACCTTTAGCTTACTAAATGATAAATACTTACACAAACCCTCAAGGAAAGGATTTATCCAAGCACTTCTACTGTCCCTGCAGTGCTCTTTTGATGTCAAGTTATTGATGCAGCTTCTTTCAGACATGACAAAGGAACCCCTACCATCAGTTCTTAAAGGTGAATGTCTAGCCACTGGTTTTCCTGACGAATAGGACGGTCTGCATCGGGTTAGAAAGTATGCTGACTCTAATTTCTTGAAGTTCTTCATTAGCCGAGAACTTTTTGAAAGAACACTTCCACAATTTCTCCGATCATCACCTATGTTATCATCACATTCCTCAATGTTGTCAACATGCAACCTTGGCCTCACCCGTTTTCTGCTACCTAGACAAGCAGAATCCTCACTATCAATGCCAGTCATGGACGGGAAGCTCGGTGCTGAATGATTATTGCTTCCTCGTTCAGAGCCAGCAACTTCTTTAAATCTTTCCTGCTGCTTGGTCACTTCTTCAATATCTGAGCACAGAAAAGAAACAGTATGTTGCAACTTTTCAGCAGCTTCTTGCTTTCTTTGCTGAACCAACAAGAGGAACTCTAGTAATAACTCTTGTTCCTCAATGCTTTCTCTAAGCTCTATTGCTGCCTCACGTTCTACCATATCATCTCTCTGCTCATTGAGGAAATCACTTTGCAACAACTCCCTGGTGCAAATGGAGATGAATCTTATTTTTTCTTTTTTTGGGGAAAAAAAAAGTATCTACTTAATTTAACGCAAAACTATTGATATTTTGATCTGTCAGGTCCATATTCCCAGTCATACCACATATTAAAGTTTATGAAAGCAATTCAAATGCAGAATTTCGCATATAAACAATAATATTTCTACCTACAGGAAAGCAAAGAATAACAAAGACTGTACAACTTTGTCTTAAATGATTGCAAATACCAGATGCCTGCTCTTACCACCCATTCGGTTTATTGATAGGAAAGAAGAAGAAATTGGGAAAGTGTGTACAATGTCTTTTATACCTATATGATACTTACTCCTATTTGTTTCTAATATAACTTAAGAATCAGGGTACAAGAGTCATTTACAATCTATAAAATCACTTTCTCCCATTACATTTCCTTTTCTATCATTCTACATGCCAGATGTGCAAGTGGTTTATGATGCAAGATTCTGCTGATTCTCTCAGCGAGACTAAAGGTGATTAAAGGGCGCATTAATATTTCAAAGAAAATATAAAAGGTCATATTTAGCCTAATCATTTTGCAAATTCTTGTGTTATGCAATCAAATAGAACCAAAAGTGGTTCGACTTGATTAGCATGTTAGACATATAATTTTTGGTAAATAATTCATAACCTATCTTCCCTTCACAAACACATCCACACATACATATGTAAGCTTCTAAACTCCTTTTCAAAATATAATCTGATTCAAATGAAAAACATCAGTGCAAAAATTACTACAAGACATATAGACTTTATCTTTTTAGTTCACTATTATGAGCTGTTAATATGAGCAGACACTGATTTCAGAATATCAGCCGACCAAAGATCTCAAGTAGAAGAAGCTTACAAGGACCTAATTAGATATTTGATCTCCTAGAACTAAGTGCTTACAAGGACCTAACCTAATTAAGATTTTTTATATCCTGGAACTAAGTGGAAAGGAGACATTACCCCAGTGTAGGACGACAGCTAGGCTCAGGATGCAGTAACAACAAACAAAATGAAGCTTCTTTGGGCCACTTCAAAAGTAACATTGGAGGAAGAACTCTGTGTCGAAGGCTTGACATGGTTCTGCTCTTTTCTTCTCTTGAGCTGAGCGGACAGAATAGCTGGTCACAAGCAGAATAGCCGTGTCAGCAAAAACAGCACTAGCTATATAGGACCTTTTAGAAGTCAATTTTATTTATATTACAATAATACAGAAACAGGATGCATGCAATTAAAACATAAAAACTAAAATAAGAGTTGTACAATTTTCATTATGAACCTCAAATAGGAGAACCCCTAATCGGTATATGTCTGAAGCACATGTACTTGGAGCGCCAGCTAACTCTTCGGGACTAGTGTACCAACTTGTCTCCATTGATAGTATTTGTTTCATTGGAAAAGATTGTTTCTCAACTTCTAATTCGTCACCTTTTCTCCTGTCTTTGGTTTTCTTTTCTTCACTATCTTCTATTAAAGATGCCCGGGCTGCGTATACTGCACTGGACAGCATGCAGCTAGATTCTGACAAAGCAGATATTGAAGTCCTGACAGGTACAATATCTTTACTCTCTAAACTTATTTTCTTATGCACACCATGAGGAAGGAGAGATGTGTGTGTTTTAATCTCAGCCGCTTTGCTGTTTAATCCATCTTCTACAGAATCTGAGCCAGAATCAGAACAAGATGCCGATTCAATGAAGGAGACATGGTTAAAAGATGACATGACAAAGCAGGAAGGCCTCACGTTATGAACAACAATTCCTTGAGAATGCGCTATATTAACAATTTCTACAATTTGCCTAAATATGTGCAAGCATTCATAGACATCCACAGACCGATCAGGTTTATCTAACCACTGTCTGAAGCTAATATCACCCCATCCTATAGAGTGAACAAAAGGGTCAACTGATACATCACCTCCGCACGCCCCAGATAAACCACCCAGGCGTGTGGGCTGATCACCCTGAGCCAACCCTATTCTATCTCTTTCTCTTATAAAACCTGAGTCCTGTGACGCCTCACCAGAAGTGGTGTTTTTTTCAGGACAAAGAAGCCTTGTGTTCCTGTCTGAGACTCCAGAAGTATTGAATGCCCTAGAACTGTCAGACTTCTGCCAACCAGACCCAGAAGAACCCTCCATTTTTTATTTACTTTTGAGTTGCATGCAAGCCGCGAAATTCGCATCCAATATTCGGAGGAGTTCTCCAACTTCTACTACAGTCTTGCACCTCGACCGTCGACATCGTGACTTAAAAACTCATTTCGATGGTTCCCGAGATAACATAAAAATCCCAAAATCATGATCAACTTATCCGCCGGTGGAGAATCTACGTGATGAGAAGTTCCTGCCAAGCACCAACACAATTCACAGACTGTTCAGAACGCAATTTCAGCAGTGCGATTACCTAGTAAGGAGAACAAATTAGAACAGTCAGAAAACGGAAACAAAACGCTAAATCTATCACAAATTTCCCAGTTGATGTACAGAAAACTCCAGAACAAAATAGCACAAATAGAGCTCTCGAAATGAACTACAAATTCTAATGAACTACAAATTCTCAAATTCATCAGAACCCCATGCATCCATAGCGCATTAAGAAATTAAAACAAAACAAAAAACACAGATAGTTATATACATCAACCGGTAGAGAAGTAACAGTGAGGGAGGGAGCGAGAGAGAGTATACCAAAGCCACCATAGGAGGATCCCCTGCTTCAGCTAGGCCAGACTGAGAACGGAACCGCACAGAACTATTTTTTTTCTTGATACATAGCCACCCTGAAGCTTCACAGCCTCATAAATTCCTCGCATTTCAGATGAAAAGAAAATAAAAAAGGAAAAAAGGAAAAGCAGACAAACAAAACAAAAAAAATCTGCAGAAACCGTTTTGAGAATTATGAAAAAAGCACCTGTTTATCTCGTCCTCTAAAAATAAAAAAGTAATTTTGACGGAATTTCCCTTTTTTTTAATATCATTTCTTTATTGCATTCACTGTATTTTTTAAATCCAGAGCACTCTTATCCTCGCGCTTTATTCCAGATAAGCGACGTGGCACCACCATGCCCTCTAGGAAGCCATGGAAAGTGCCAGTTGAGTAATTTTTTAATAATCGGTGGGCCATATAATGAAAATTTAAATAATAAATAACCTTCGCCAGTAATTACTAAAAGTTGGTGCCTTGTCCTGGAAAGCAACGCCCCTTACCCAAAGAGGAAAATGAAAATCATTGGCGAAGCCGAACCAATAAACAATTGAAAAATATCGAGATTAGCTGAACAAAGCAGCGGAACCGAATCTAATAATCCAAAAAAGTCAGTAGAAGATTGTAAAAAGTGGGCAATTCCACACAAATAATATAAATTATTCCTTATTGAACAGAGAACTTCAATAAAATCAATGCCGATTAACAGGTAATCATTGGTTAATTACGATACTTTTTTATTGCTAGCTGCTGAACTAGACGAGATAATGCATGGATGAATGTGAAGACTTGCCTACTTGTAAAACCAATATCAACATGGGAAGCGCTGAAATGTGGGTCAGCTCCAACATTCGAGCTTTCCGTATAATTCATCATTTCGGAGAATGCAAAATTCTCTGTTTTAGGATTAAGCGATTTCTATTTTTTTTTTTTTTACCAGACTCTAGTTTTTGTCATTTTCTGTGCAATAGACATTGAATGATCTGGAAGAACAGTGGAATAATAGTAACTATATCAGAAATCTTTTCTCAGGGTCTCTTCAAGATGGAAACATTATTTTCGTCATTAGTTATTCAAAATTTCAGGAAGTTGCTTCTATGAGTGCAATTCAAATTATATTAATTATATTAATTGGCACGGCATGGCATGGCAGATTGACAGCCACTTAAATGCCTATCCAATGTTCATTTTTTCTATACCAAACTTGGTTAAGTGGGTATTTAGCTGTATGGCCAGTATGAGAATGTAATTTAATGCTGATAATGAAAGGTCTCAACTTTGAAATTGATTTAATGGTTTTTGACTACACAAATATATATTTGTAGCCTTTCTTCAGTGACATTGTAAAAAATCATCACTTTTGTTGATTAATACTCAGTAAATTAAATTACTGCATATGATAAAAAGATTGATTCTTTCGATCGACCCTCAACATATATTTTTGAAGTTTTTATCAATAAAGTTATATTTTATACTATTAAATATGATAATCAAACAATTTTGCAGATTCAGCGTTAGGTTATGAAGTTAATTAGTGGCACCAAAAACCAAAAAAAAAAAAAACGTATGGCAAAGAGAACCGGAGCTTCATGTTTAATTCGGACCACTGCATTCGAATCTGCAAACTGTTTGTGATCTTATGTGAACAGTACCACCTTTGTGAGATCTCATAAATGCACTTTGCCTGTTTCTCTCTTTGGATTCTTCTTCCTCTCTCTTTCTCTCTCCCTCTTGATCTTTTCAAGTTTCAAATCTCATTAATTAACTTAAGAAAAATGTGGCTGCCATTTTCTCTCTTATTTTCTGTTTTTTTTTTATTTTCATTCTCACGAGAAAACTGAAAGGGAAAATTACACTCAGGTCCCACAGAACACAATTAATATCAAAAAGGTCCCTCGAAATCGCGAAATGATTCTGAAGTCCCCAGGGACCTGTGTGTAATTAATTCTAATGTGAAATTACGTAGTTACCTTTGTTAATTTGAACCTATTTACAACCTCACAGTGGCTGTTAACAACCCAATAAGAGGTGGTTAACAACCTCAAACAACGCCCCTGGTATTCCACAGAGTGAGTTGTCATGAACACTGCCGAGGTTGTCAATCACGTCTTCTCGGGTTGTTAACAGCATTGTTGAGATTGTAAATAAAATTAGAACCTATTTACAACATCAACAGTGGCTGTTAACAACTTGAGAAGAGGTGGTTAACAACCTCAACAACGCCCCTGGCATTCCACAAAGTGAGTTGTCATAAGCACTGCCGAGATTGTCAATCACGTCTTCTCGGGTTGTTAACAGCCACTGTTGAGATTGTAAACGAATTGTTACAATAAAATTAACAAGGGTAAGTAGGTAATTTCACAATTAGAATTAATTACACACAGGTCCCGGGGAATTCAGATCATTTCGCGATTTCGTGGGACCTTTTTGATATTAATTGTACTCTGTGGGACCTGAGTGTAATTTTCCAAACTGAAACCAATGAAAGATAATGCTTTGCATCAACCATAAAATTAATTATGAACTATACAGTAGCGGTTGATCATTCGTCACCACGCACCATACAATTTTTAAGGAGAAAAATAAGGGAGACCGCAATATGGGAAAAAAAATCAAAGTCATGTTACTAGAATGTTCCTTTAATATGCTTCCCAAAATCTTTCATTTTTTTTTTTGGGAAAAAAAATTGTGGAGCAGGATAAGCACAGAGCCAAACTCAAAATAGATTCGAAGCCTTTTTTGGGGCTTTCTTCAGTTCACCAAAAGAAAAATCACAGATGCTTATTAGTTTTAAATATCCGTTATTTTATTAGAAGAATGGCAAAACAAGGATGGCTCTCAATCCGTTTGGTACTCTCCTTGCTACATCATTTTGAGTGTTTGTTATGTAAACATCCTTAACTTTTACTTAGTTCCTTGAGATATTACATCACAGAGTTGTTGTATCTAGACATTTCATCACTCTAGGCTGTGTTTGGAATTCCATTTATAACCTAGTTAAAACAAAAGTAAATTTGCAAAACTGAGTCTACATATCCAATTCTAAAGACATGTTTGGATTGCAGTTTGAAATTGCAGTTGTGCCTTGAAATATATGAAACTGAGGTTGCAAACTGAGTTAGACTAAAACTGTTGTTTGGTCAGGCTAACTTTTCCAACTAACTTTGGCTTTTAATCTCAGTTGAACTCAACAAGGAGAAAAAAATTTGATTTTTTTCAAACTGCAGTTTCAAACAGTGATTATTAAAATGAGACATCCCAGATTTACTGCCACATTTTGCCCTCTGCCTCAGCTCCTTCATTAGCATAATAAGCTTTTATTCAGATCAGATGAATTTTAATTTATATTCATGTTTGTCCATTATGTATATTTAATTAATTATCTACAATAGGTTTTCAAATTTTTCTTCAGACAATATTTTTTATTTTATAATTTCATAAATAAACGATTTATATTTTATCATAAAATTTTACGTATTTTTTTAAACTACTATCACATTAAAACATAAAATTTCAAACACTACTATTTAATAAAATCCATACCCTTTTTAGTCATTTTACAATTAAATTAATTTTTCTATTAATCATCTAAACAATTTTTAACTTTTTCAACTGACTTTTTAAAAACACTTATCCAAACATACCCTAACTGATTTTTACTCTAACTTCAATTATAAAAGTCAGTTGAGCTAGAAGTCAGTTTTACCTAACGTCAATCCAAACATACTCTAAGCGGTGTTAGGAAAATTGGGGTTTTAGGGGTTTAGAAGGCCTTTAGTTTATAAAACATAGATTTCAAAGTAGCCAAATATGGTTGGAAGTTAAATTGAACTTCCCAATATAAATCCCAAGTTGGACCTTGAACTAAGATCAAAACATGAGTTAATTTGCATATATAATCCAAAGGTACTGTATATAGATTTTAACTAACCCAAGCAAGTTTGAATGAAATGATGTGAAATATATCCTCTAATCCAAATGATTATAGTTCATCACGCCACAAAGAAATAAAACTCATTACCTGATGAATTCAAAACGATAGCAACGAAGTATTTGAGAATAAAGCGGATAAGGAAGGAAGAAAAGATAAGGAAGATAAGGCACATCATACCTATACATTTCTGAGTGATTCTAACGTGTGGAAGACATCCTGCTAGAGCATCCTACAATCTAAAGGTAATAGGTAGGTGAGGAGCTTTACAAGAATGGCCGTGTACTAGATATTGCAGGTACGAGTTAAAAAAACAGTACGTCATACGGAAAGTAACCTACACAGCTAGCTTGAGATGGCCTAATGGCTAATAGGATCAGTGGGAAATCCTGGAGTTTAATTTCTTCAAAAATGAGGGTTGAACTTCTAACTCTAGCTTTTGATGGGGGGGCATAATCTCTCCTGTTACAAAGAAGAAGACGCAATATTTCAAGAGAAAAAATTAAAAGGGCTCTAGTTTTCTGACCAAGATCTGAAAGCATAACCAATCAGCAGCATGAAATATGAAACAGTCAGTTGTATGAGCAGTTGTATGAGTTGAGTTCTGCAGTAGACAGTTTTTAATGGATTAGTGTGTGAAAATAACATTCAACGAGTGGTAACTGAATCTGTTTATTGATTATCAGAGTATCAATCCATTTACTAACACGCAACTCATGAAAAAAAAAGAAAGTTAATACAGAACGTAACCTTTATTATTTATGGCATATCACCGCATATGCACAAACCATCATAAAAATTGACAAATTCTTCGCCAAACAACGCCAAACCCTACCTCACATGCACTGATAAAGTTGCATCACATTCAAAAACTGCAGTATTAAGGTCAAATAACCACCAATTTCATTTCAAGAACGAAAACCATATCACTGCCTGTAACAATTCTAAAATCCAAAAGTAGCTTCTGTACCGTGAAATATTAACAGCATTACCTCAACATGTAACAAGATCACAGATTACGTGAGCAATGCATATGTGTGTGTGTGTGTATATATATATATATGATGGAATTAAACTCAAGTAGAAGAAGCAGATAATCATGAAGCAACTGAAGGGAGAAAAGGTAATGAGGAAACAATTATAACATTTG